TTTTTTTTTTTTTGCAAAAATTGCTTTTTTTCTTTTTTTTTTTTTTTTTTTTTCTCTTGAATCTCTTGGATTTGTGAGAGTGTTCTCATTCAAAAGGGTGGGTTTTTATATCCATGCCTCTTCTCTCCACAGGGTCGCATAAAGTGAGTCTGTCCTCTTGGTACCATGACCGGGGTTGGGCCAAGATCTCCAACATGACTTTCAGCAATGGAAAACTAGTAGTTAACCAAGATGGCTTTTATTATCTGTACGCCAACATTTGCTTTCGACATCACGAGACTTCGGGAAACCTGGCCACCAAGTATCTCCAGCTGATGGTGTATGTCACTAAAACCAGCATCAAAATCCCGAGTTCTCATACCCTCATGAAAGGAGGAAGCACCAAATACTGGTCAGGGAGTTCCGAATTCCATTTTTATTCCATAAACGTTGGGGGATTTTTCAAGCTACGATCTGGTGAGGAAATAAGCATCGAAGTCTCCAACCCTTCTCTACTAGATCCAGATCAGGATGCGACGTACTTTGGGGCTTTTAAAGTTCGGGATATAGACTGAGATCCATTTTATGGAGTACTATCATGTATTTCCTAGGTGTTTGGAAACTTTTTCATACAAACCAAGAAGGATGTATATAGGTGTATGAGACTACTAAGAGGCACAGCCAGCATCGCTACAAGACTCATTATCCATGCATGCCCTTGACCTTGTGCAGAGCACACAGTTACAGCCAATGGACACGAGGAACTCATAGTGTGTTACAGAGTGGTTTTTAAATTTTGTAAGGAATTCCTAGAATTAAGCCAGACTGGAGCAATTATGTTTGCCCTTATGAAAAACTACTTTGGGGCTGTGGAGAGGGGTTAATTCTCCAAATCTAGTGCATGGGTAGGTGCCACTGTGCAGCTCAGTTGGAGAGGGTGTCACCTACTTGCTAGTGAATGACCATCTGAGGGGTTAAGTTCTTTCGAATTGTTCTATCATGCTGGAACCTGCAAATACTTTTTCTAATGAGGAGAGAAAATATATGTATTTTTATATAATATCTAAAGTTATATTTCAGATGTAATGTTTCCTGTGCAAAGTATTGTAAATTATATTTGTGCTATTGTATTTGATTCCAAATATTTAAAAATATCTCACTGTTGACATATTTAATGTTTTAAATGTACAGACATATTTAACTGGTGCACTTTGTAAATCCCCTGGGGGAAAGTTGCAGCTAAGGGGGAAAATGTTGTTTCCTAATATAAATGTAGTATATTTCTACATGCTTTTTTAACTTAACAGATTTTTGAGAACTGTCAAGCCTGTGCAAAAAAATGAAAATGGATGCTTTGAATAATAATAAATAGGATGTTGGCCACCAGGTGCCTTTCAAATTTAGAAGCTAATTGACTTTAGAGCGCTGACATTGCCAGAAAGGATGCATAATGGGCTACTGAAATCTGTCAAAAGTATTAAATAATTATTGAACAGGTGTTTTATTTTTTTTTCCTACAAGTGCTGCAAATGGTACATTTTGTTTTATTTTTTTTTTAAATAAGAAAGTTACTAGTGGATTCCCGGCGAAAACAATCCAGTTTTTAATTCGGTGAAAGTTATTTTATACTGTACAATACAAACATTGCCTTCAATGTTAATTTTTTTGGTACAAAAATAAATTTTTATGAAAACCTCCCTGTGACTTTGTACTTGTCTTTCATGTCTGTCTTGCTCTGTGATCCCGTCCTTGCCGGTGTGGTAATGGGGTTTCTATCTCTTTTCAAAGGTTACTGGGAGAAATGCAGATTTAATTAAAAATGAGGAACAGATTCAATTAAATTAACGAAGCTTGGAATTTGAAAAATAATTTGTGACAGATTTGTATGCAAGAATGTAGCTAGATAGAAAACAGTGGCTTCTTTACTCGAAAACTAAAGGTTTATGTTATATTTATGTGGTGAAAAAAATGTGATTAGCACAAGTACATAATGTCCCAAAGCACCGCAGGTGGACTCGGAGGAATG